ATTGAAACATTGCACGGCTCTTAACGCAAAACCGTCTGCTCTCATTGATGGAGTATTCTTTGTATCGTTTCTACCAACTCATGCATCAGCATTTCAAGCAAGAAAGACAAAGGATATAGAGCTATGCGCAATACTCTTTACCTCTTGCGACCAATACAAGTCGTATACGTGGGCATTCTGCCACAGCCCCAACCATCTGGTCCGGCAAGGAGGTGGCGCTAGCGGGCACGGGGCGGAAAGACTCTGTGCAGCGCTAAGCTCTTCGAAATCCCGGGCCGTGAGCTCGCTGACTCGAATGGGCCTTTGCAGCAGCGACACCTCGGGGTCGTGGACCTGCCAGGAGTCAGTAGGACGAACGAGCTTGGGCACCTCCAGCTGCACGCCCTCAGCTTCCATAGGCAACACCGTCGCAAACCCGTGGGAGGCACCATGCGTGCACACGTTCGAGGGGCACAAGCAGATGTTACACACCGGAATCGAGAACGCGTTCCGATCATCGACCTGGGGGGCGCTCTCCGTTCTCCGCCCCCTCTCCTCGGCTGTTTTCAAATCAGCCTCCTCCACGCTGCCCGTTGCAGCGTTCGACTTCTCCATCTCTGTGCCTTTTGCCGTCCAAAATGATTTGGTTCTCCGTTTGCCCGATCTCGCGCTCGCTTCCCCAACGCTACCGGAACCTTCTCCTTGCTCCGATCGAGCTCGCTTTCCGTTCGTTTGAGCAGACGCGCAGCACCTCGCTGCGCAGGGCTCCTCGTCCACATCAGCGCCGCCGAACACCCTCGCATGCTGCTTGCAGAAGCAACTTGGCCCTTCGCATGCGGCCCTCTCGTGACTGCCAACGACCAGCTCCGCGAGGTACCCCTCCACGTCGGCATCCGGTGCATACTGCCCGCTGTGCGCCATGCCGTCACCACCACGGCTATCCACTAGCCCGCCCTTCAAGGACGTTTTTGCAAGCTCAAGCTGCCCCTCCGAGAACGAGATCTTGCTCAGTTTATCCACGCCGCCCGGTCCACTCAAAGCTCGCTTCACCCCTTGGATGTGCGAACAGTCAGCCGTCTTGCTGCATCCGCCGCTCTTCTGCCCCTCGCAATACCAGCCCATCTGCGCCCCCTCGCTATAGTGGACCATGGTCCGCTGAGGTGAGGGCGAACCAGCATTCCAATACACCCCAAAAACCCGCTCCCCGACCCTGTCGCATGGGATTTCTACCACCCGTGGCCCCTTTTGCAGCAATATGGCGCTAGCTAGCCTCGGCGACTCCAACGCCTGTAGCGTAAGTTTGTGCACGCAGGGTGCCTGAGAGTACAACCGGCCCCGGTCGCAGGTGCAGCTCAGGTTTCCCATGGTGTCCCGATGCACCGTCTCGAGCAACGCGCGCACTTTGCTAGGGCGCCCGAGAGGTTTGGGTCTGGCGGCGTTGTGATTCCAAGTACTATCCAGATAGACTGTACCAGCGGATTCCTGCTCGCCGACGCTGTAAAAAGCGCACTCTCCTGATCGGAGGCCATCGAGATACATCACAGCTTGGTCGATGATGGTTCGGCGATCCTCTGCGTCGGACGCGTCGCCGTTTTCTGTGTGAGGTTGTCCCTGCGTCCACACTAGGAACGTAGTTAGATATTCCGCAAATGGTGGGAGACGAAGGCTCCACAATGCTCCTAACGGCGGTGTTATCCATCAGCATAAGATCTTTGACTCTTCTTCTGTTACTGTATGTGTTTTCTTGTTGTGCACACTTGGATCAAATATGCAGCAGTTTCCGGGCTGTAAAAAAGCATATAGACAGTGCTCAATCAAACATTCACAAGCAGATGCAGAGGCTACTAGGGTTCGAAGATCTGCATTCCTGCTTACCTTCACTTGCGCGCTGGATCTTGCTGTCTCCCCCACTTTTCGCCCCCTGTTCACCGCTGCTTGCGCTGCAGTTGTCTTGCGGCGCCCGCCCGGCCGTTCCTCCTCTGCCTTCTCTCGCAGGTTGCCGATCTCTTCGCCCGACAACTCCTTCAATTGTCTCCATTCCTCCCCCAGTGACTTGCGCTGAAACCAAATTTCAACCGAACCCGCCGAGCCCCGGTTGGTCCTTGCTACGCTGATTGTCAGGTTGTCACCACACTGGGTGACAGGACCGAAATGCCGCTTTATGCACTTCAAACAAAGAGGCTGGCGCTTTCTCTGACCCTTGGCGACTGATTCGGATGAGCTGATTGCAAAGCCCTTCTGTGCTTGGCTTTTCCGAAATGTGAGTTGGTAGTCTTTTGTCACAAGTGTTTGTTTGCAAAGCGGGCACTTGGTAGCCCGTGAGTTAGCGGGAATGGTTCCGTAGGCTCGTGGATCTACAATAATGTTGCCACAGTCCACCTCCCTCTGAGTCGCCGGGTGCAAGCTATGAGTCGAAATGTTTGGTCGGGCCACACTGAAACCCGGGGTTGGTTGCATCTCTTCTTCAAGATGTCAAGGATCCAGATGAG